GGGGGGAGGCCTTATATTTAGCAATTCAGCAAAACCTCTGCTAGGTCTTATTTTCGGGGAAACACGGTATGTATGCAAACAAGCGTTTTCGCTTATGAATTTAAACAAGTGCAAAACACAGAACAGGTTAACCAACGAGAATTTGGAAAATCTGCTAGTTGTTTCAACATCTGCCATTACGCTAGACATCAAGAAGATTGCCGCCAGCATCCAATCTCAGCCATCGCATTAATCACTTGGAGGTCCGGCCCCCAGTCAGTAAACTTAATCCTAATTTGGCCTTTCTTCAGAAAAGGTTGTGCATCCCTGTAGTAATTGATTTAATTAGGAACAGTGAGCATACAATGAAATTGAAATGGTATAATATTTAATATTTAAATTAAAAAAATGCTAAACTGGAGTATTTCTATAATAATTATACAAATTTATCAATAATATCATAACTGAAAATGAAACTTTTAATTTGCAAATTCTATGAATTTCAAAACTAACTTTAAAATTACATACATTTTGCTATTTAATTTAAAATTTTAACTTTAGATTTTAAATTTAAGAAAAGTTTGATCTATTGCACTTTTTATCATCACATAAAATAATTATCAATTATTAAAAAAGTCAATGGATTATATAGGGATTGTTTTAGGTTAAATTACATTTATATTCATTTTTGAAAAGTTCATAAAAAAATTCAAATTAAATTTTTTAAAAAAAGATATTTAAATGTAATCAAAACAAAACTTAAGACCAAATTTGGTAAATAATGTTGAATTATAAAACTTTACAGATGAAAAATGAATTAAAATATAGCTATGCTTACCCCAGCATCTCCGGCTAATGACCAGTTTCTACTTTGCTTCTGGATATCAGCAATGCTTGTAATTTTCTGCCATGGTAATTTATCTTTTTCATTATTATTGATTCTATCACCCTATAAAAATTAATATCTCTGATAATTATTTATGATAATTCATACATTTTTATATCAGATTATTTATTATTTATTAAATATTATAAATCTTTGCTGATATTATTTTAATGATAAATAATTTTAATTAGAAAATATTTAAATGTATAGACATAATACCATCTCTGAAGCAAATTATGTCTGAAAATTACATAAATTGATGGTGCTATCAAAGAATTTATACAAAAAAATTATCATCTCCTCTCTCTGTAAAATAGGACATATTTTATAAAAATGAAAATTTGATAAACTTTCCTTATTATTGTTAACATACCATCACTGACATACTAAAATATTTTTTCCTTGAATTTTTCACATACTGTATTTGTGTATATAACCTGAAGAAAACTGCTAGAAGCAAAATAAAATCTTTTGATAACTCACCCAACTGCATCTGTGGAAGCAGCCATTACAGTTTTAAATTGACATATAAGCTGCCCTATTGCATAATCTGCACCCTTTCAAACTGTCTCTTAAACATAAATAATTTATAGGTTATATATACAAAAATATATTAATAAAATTTGTAACTGCTTTTTCTCTAACAAGTAACACCATATTCAGAATAGAAATTTATGAATAGTGAAAAACATGGAAGTAGTTTTAAACTTAAATTACTAAATTATGGCATCATGATTTATTAACAATACAAAAATCTACATCTTATGAATTTTGAAGCATTCATGCATTTATTTTCATCATTGACATGAAACAGTGAAAATGTACTATATATACACTGTTATGGTATTAACTGATTTGTTTAATTGTCTAAAACTATAGTATAAAAGTTTATATTAAACAATTTCTATTAAAAAAAAAGCAAAAAACCATACAAATACAAAACTTAATAGACTTATTTCCTATATCATTATTGAAGATTATAAAATGTAATGCTTTATGCAGAATTTGTTTATTTGAAAATTAGATAAGTCATTTCTTGTTCAGGTCATCCCAACATATATATTTTCATAAAGCAAAAATTTTGTTATTTTTTTTTTTTATCATCTTTCCACAAAAGTTTAATCTAACAAAAATGTGACATTAAAAAGTAATAAGTCCTGTAAAGACACTATATATGTATTATTGTATACTGCTAATTATACTGTATTTTTGCTGCATTTTTGTTTAGATGTACAGTGGGTGATTGGTTAATTAACAAACAGTTCGAACAACAAACGCTTTCACAAAAGATTTTTATGTTTGGACAAGGAACACACATTCGGATAACAAACACCTCACAGAACAAACACAAGAAGAAGCGACATAAAATAATGAATACTGATTGGTCTTCCCTTATCTTCAGGCAACAATTTGAAACTTTTCTGAGTGTGAGAGATATTGACATCGATGCTCAACCCAGATATACTGATCGGATAGTATTCCTCCAAACTTTGAAACTCTCCCTTGTAATTCCAGCCTTTTATTTTTCTTACAGAAACAATTTTTTTTATAGTATTTGTGAGACTGTCAAGTGGGCACTCGATTAAGTTTTGCATCAGTTTTTATTTTCAAAAGGTGAGAGTATAATAGCAAAGGTAGAGAGTGGGCAGAATATGTCTGATGATGTTGGGAAGTATGGCTTGAACATGTCTATGGTAGCCCACAGTTCAATCTTATCTAAGAAAGATACTGTACAGTATAATCAAAAAGACTCAAGCAGCTAAAGGAGTAATAAAAATCACATATGAGAAATAAACATTGAAGATCTCATAACGGAACCTGAAACTGATCTGACAACAGAAGAACGTCAAGAACTCTTGAATGAAGAACACCAAGAAACTCAGTGAGCTATGTTTTTTTCTAAAAAAGAGAATTAATGTCAATATCTGCTATTAAAGATCTTTTGAAGAAGTGGGAGGATGTCAGAACAATGGTCTTAGAATGGCATCCAAACCAGGTTGAGGTTAATAGGCTTAGGGATCTCTACAACAACAATGCTATTAATTACTTCCAAAAAATCCTGAAGAAGAGAGAGAAGCAATCAGCATTAGACAGATTCTTTAACACCCCACAAACAGAAAAAACATGACTGATAAAAATGCAAGACTGTGTATACATGTATTTTTATTATTAAATACAGTAATACCCCAAACTTACACGATAGGTGGAACCGAGCGGTAACCGTGTAAGTTGAATTCGCGTAAGTCGGGGTATAATTTCGCATATAAATACATACAAATAATTTTTAATTGGGGCCGGAGACTAAAGAAAACAATAATTTAGAAAAAAAATGTTTAATAAAATCTTAGATAATACATATGTATAACAAATTAGGCCTATATTATTTTACAGTTTTTCACATTTACTTGATTATCACGCCATAATTTTAACATTGTTTTCATCTCAGCGATAATACTGTGACGTTTATGAATGATGCTTGAATTTAAAGATTGAGCATTTTTCACAGCTTTGAGAATTTTTTCTTTGCCTTTTATAATCATTCCGACAATTCCAGTAGATCAAACTTCTTTGCCAATTCACAAATTTTCATTTTTGTATCAAAGTCTTTAATAATGGGTACGTTCGTAAAGCCAAATGAGTTAAACGCGTTAGTAATGAATTGTTCGAAAAGTCTAACGAAATAGGAATAACAATGACTTCATTCTCGCTTAACTCATTTGACTTTACCAACATAGCCAATGTTAACTTTACATTCCAAAGATAAAGTTTTTCTTTTCTTGTTTGATGCAGAAGAATTAGTTCTACTTCATTTGGATGACATAGTAGAGTCTCTCAAGTCTCCGTAGATATAACAAACACAGAAATAAATAACACAAAATAAATTGTAGCTATGTGTGGATTCCGCGCGACACATCCAAAAAATGTAACCTGACCAATATGGGGGGGGAGTGAGTAATCAAGTGTGGGGGGAGTGAGTAATCAAGAATTGCATGGCGCTCAAACAAAAGATGAATCGACGAGATTTGAAAATCGCGTAACTCCGGGTTTGTGTAAGTCAGGGTAGTGTAAGTCAGGGTATTACTGTATTTATTTATATGTAATAATAAAATGTAGTAAGAAAGTATATAATTTTTTTTTTATTTTGGGAGGGTCTCCAGAACAGATTAATCAAATTCCCATAAAAATCTATGGTAAATTGATAATCAGCTAACGAGCAATTTGGATAGTGAACACAGTCTTAGAATGGATTATGTTTGTTAACCGATCACCACTGTATTTTTATTTTATTTCATTTGCTTACTCTCATTTCATTTTTGAAGCCATTCTTAAACTTTGTAATTTTTAAATATTCTGTATCCACATTCCAATCTGTTAACAGTATATATGATCCTGAGGATGGCCATCCAATCAGCAGAAAATATTTGATTAATAAAAAAATACTTCTGCTGGAAGAGGCTAGATCTATTTTCATTTAATAAAAAATAATATATCTTGATGTTAAAATGTAATCATACATAATGATTTTGATTTGTTTAAAAACAATACCAGAGAGAATTTTTTTCTAAAGCTGCAAAAATTTGACATTTCTTCAAAATTACACACATTATTTTTTGCGTAATTCATATGGCATTCTAATTTAATGTTTTTCTATCTGAATTTTTGCCTAGTCATATCAATTATATAAGCTTTTTCATTTCAAAAATCAGAGTAAGATAAATTTATTAAATGAAAAATATTTTAAAATTTCTTATTTCAATCATTCATTGTTTTAAAAGTTTGATTTGCTTGAAAATAATTAGATACTGATAATGCTGTATTAAAAGTGTAACAAACTACTAGAAATCACTATATTAATTTTAGATCTCTGTAGAATATATTAAATTGCATTTAAAAAATAGAAATGATCAAATATACTCAAAGCAAGTTACAAACCCAGATAAAACTCTCTGATTACTGCAAAATTCAGCATATAGTTATGTCTCAGATATATATGTAAATGATTACAGTTAAATGATCCAATTTCACACCAGGTAATGCTACCAGACTGTCTTAAATGCATTGCTACCTCATTATCCTATAAGAAGGCTTGCAGAGGCTGACTGTGTTCAGAATTTTTAGTTTACTTGTTGTCTGAAGGTATCTGAACTTAAGGTTTATTTGTATAATGAAGTCAAAGACATTATGCAGAGTTTGAGAAAGGCTGCATCATTGGGATGATGGTTATTTTGCTGAACTGCCTCGTCTGAACCATTCTAATTTGACTGTAAGGAGTGTTGGAGGAAGTGGATATGCATACATGATGACTAATCTCCGAATTCCTAAAAAATAACTATCTAATTCTGAGACAAGCATGAACAGCTGCAATGGTGTTTTTGTCAATTGTCCAAACAAATGGAAACTTTACTACAGAATCCTATCTCTTTCCATACAATTGGCAGATGACAACTATCAGAGTCAAATTTGCACACGTGGCAATAGCTGTTCTGCCATTAGCATCCCAGCAACATTTGTTTCATTTGTAATGAATCCAGTGCTATGTGAAGTACGGAGAATCACTGGCGAGTACTTCAATTCCATCTTAATTGTTGAGCAGCATACTATTTCTACTGATGATGTGCTGGGAAGCCATCTCATAAGACAGTCTGCCACCTTCTGCCGTGGCCTGACAGACATTGACAGCACATTTAAAAAATCCTGTGTTCTTATGTGTTACATTTCATGATAACCGCAAACAACCATTTTTCAGCAGATTTGTTGCCCATCGAGCATTTTGAGAAACTATATGGGAATTCCAGCTTTGGCCACCTGCAAGTGTGAGGGATCCAGAACAGTAGTTGCAACATCTGCTAAAATCCAAAATCAAAGCTGAAACAGATACAATAAAATTGAATTTATAAAAAATGAATTTAATAAACAAATATAAAACAAACATGTATATTCATTCATTAAACCCATTTGCTGGAAAAGTATGAATGATTTTGATTTTAAAGGACAATCTGTTGCAGTATCAATATCTGTATGCCTTCATGCCTGACTATATTGGCACATGTATTCAGACTAGA